GCTAGATCATATATTTTTGTATATATATGATCTACGCATTAATACCTTTCATTTGATGTATAATACGCATGTTAATCTGTACATTCGAAAATTCGATAAATCATCCAGTTATTCAATATTATATTCAATATAATATGTAGATCATATGCTGGAAGTTTCATTAAATTCCGTTCAGTCAAAAATTAATAAAAAATAATCAAATATTTGGCCAATTAACAAACGCACGTGCAGCAGCTTCAACAGTATCGTATACGTGTGCACCCATACATTCAAACTTCTTCTCGAACATTCACATCAGCTGTTAGTTTAGTTTAGTTTTAGTAGATGGCGCTGCAGTAGTGAATCTTTTTATTTTTTTGACAGCTCAGCTTCCAAAAGTGAGGTGGCGTAGTGAGTAGCGGCATGACGCTCGATCGAGAAGTCCCGGTTCAAATCCCGATAAGTGCAGCTGATGTTAATTTTTCTTAATTGTTTCAAAATATTTTTATATTTTGATAAATGAGTTTTCAATTTAATTTATATTTTTCAATACACCGGAATTTTTATTTTAACCATACAAAATGTGCGTTTTTAATAGTTTGGTTATTCTAGCAGTTTGGTTATTCTTAGAATCACATCAGCAGTTAGTTTGTTTTAGTTTTGCTAGATGGCGCTGCAGCAAAATCTATTTCAGTTTTGCCAAAATGTCTTCCGAAAGTGAGGTAGCGTAGTGAGTAGGAGCGTAGCGCTCGATCGAGAAGTCGCGCGTTAGAATCCCGAGTGGTGCAACTTAAGTCAATCTTTTAGTTGTTTGAAAATATTTTTATATTTTATGAAGTGAGTTTTGTATTTCATTTATATTTTTAAATACATCCAAATTTAAATTTTAGCCATACTAAATCGACATTTTTATTAGTTGGGTTCAGGGTAGTATCTAGTCGTGCACTCTCGACTAGAGTTTTCTTACTTGTTTCCTCTCTCCTTTGGGCTTCTTATGAGCCTCAATTTTTGAAAATTCATAACTCTTATTTGCGGTCCCTGCTGTTATACACATTCGAATATTTGACGAATACAACATTTCGTGTAAAAATTTCGACTATGAATTTCCCGCCATTAATGTTACAATTCTATAAAAATCAATGAAAAATGTAAGTACACGCCAACTGGAGGGGTGGAAAGCTAGTGTGTATATATTCAATTTGACAGATTAAAATAAATAAGAAGTAAGATAGTCGAGACTGCCCGACTACGAGATCCCCTTAACCCTTCGAGCGACTGACATATTAATAATTATTCGCACATGCATACACACACGCACACACACAGGCATACGCTCGCACGCATAAACACGCATTGGCTGCAGTTCCGGCTTACTATGGGAATAATTTATTAATAACTTTTCTTGTCGATGGACGATCTTTAGGAAGCTTTTATATTATGATTATACATATACATGCATTTGCCAAAGAACAAATCTCTAGTATTTGAAATACGCTTTTTACAAATATGTGGGTGAATATAAGGATGGGGGGTAAATTTTAACAAGAAGCGAAATTGTATAAAATGCGACAAGACTCTAGCTGTATAGATGTAGGAGATATAATTTTGAAACTGAAATCGGCGCATTCATAAATAAATAATGATCTATTGTAATATTGTAATATGTTAATCATTGCAACGCTTAAGCCATCTTATCTAAATCAAGAAAATACTTACCTTAAATAACATTTTATGGATTTACATCTAATATTCATATCCATTGTAATAACAGTTTTTGAAATGTTTTCATCCTCATTCTCCTCCTGTATAAATGGAGATGCTGCTAATAACGAACTTAATCTATCGTAAATTGAAATATCAAGCTCAGCAGAACAGTCGTCTAAGGTTAATTCAATTTTGTTGCTGGTAATATTATGGTTTTGTTTGAAAAGACACGAGGATATATGTGACAGAATAATTTCGGGTCGAGTGTGATATCCGTCTTGGCAGTTCTGCAGAAAAATGATTTATTTATTTTAATTACTTTTGCTTAATTTTTTTTTTTTTTTAATATTTTTATTATAAGCTTTAAAACGTATTATATTTAATTATATACGGAGGAGGAGGATTAATAAAAGATAAGAAAAATAATAATTGAACTTACTTTTTTTCGGTCGAACATAATTAAATGATTAATTTTGTTATCGAGAATTTCACAGATGTCACACATTGTTGCTGATAATGTTGTTCTTAAAATTAATTCATTACATAATCTTTTCTGATTTCCGCTTACTAATAATGATGAGACCATTAGTAATAGATAATTTTTGTTTGGTATTGGAATATAACATTTTTCGTCAGCTCTTTCAATAAATGCCGTTTGAAAAAAATGAGTAGCAGTTTCGAAATAGTTTGTTAAACTTTGAGTGGTATATATACAGCTAGACCCAATATTACTATACGCGTTTTCAAATAGAATATCGCTATGCAAAATGACACCTACAATTTTATATATTTGCAATTTAAACTTTAAAATTTCACCAGATTTTTCATCAGATCCCTCATTTATTTGAGCATTGCTATATGATGTTGTTATGCTGTTTGTAGACGTTGAAGAGGTTAAAGATTCGCATTTTTTTGACTTTTTGTTATCACTAAAATAGTCTAATTTTTTATAGCCTTCGTCTTCAGCACACCATTCTTTATCTTGTTCAACAATTCCAGACATTTTTTTAGAGAAATGAGTTTTATGTATTTCAGGCTTTAACTCGGAATAGCTCTTTTTTTTCTTATCATTTGGGCGTACTTTATCAAACCCTTTGAATATCCGAATCAACATATGTGTTTGTCGTGGGGTCAACATGAAATAAATATCGTCTATTGTAACTTCCAAGTTAATTTTTGGACCAATAATGTTTTCGGTTTGCTTAACACTTATTTTAAAATTTTGACATCCCTTAAATTCAACAATCTTACAAAGCCGTCCAAGAGATAGCAACTCCGCTATATTAGTTTCAGTACTTGATATTTCTGAAGTATGAATCGTTAAATCAGAAGTTACCAGATTATGTTTAGCTATCATTGGTAACGCTTTCATATTGAGAGACTTATCTGTGATGCCGTTTTCAATTAAGTCTCCATCTGAAGAAAAATATTTTTCATATCCAGTTTGGTTTTTATATTCAATATGATTTGCTTTGATTGATATAATCAGCTTCTTAGATGATTTTGGCAGCACATATTCGATATTAATCGTTGTGTTAGTTAAATTTGCATGTATTCTATTAAGAACTGAAAAATAGAAAAATTATTAAGAGATAATGTATAAATACAGTTGTATTGATCATGTAGTTATGTAATTTAGTTATATTTTATATAATGTCCATTTCTTTAAATTCTAAGTTCCGACGTTTCACAATATCCCAAAAAATTTATTATCCGAATATATGAATATTTCAATATATATAAAAACGTGCTTGCCACACGATAAGTTAGATGAAATCATCACATGTAATTACTGTTTATTTTTGCATATATACATATACAATTGTATATACATCTAAATATCTAAATATATCCAAAGAGAATTTCTAAGACGTTTATAAAGCACCTTAAAAAGAATGTCCAAATCCATAGATACCGTGATAAACTAGACATATTGCTTAGTAACTTGTCATTATTAGTTCTATATTTTGTAAGTAATACTCCACGGAACACAATTTAAATTGTTAGATTTTTTGCTAAATCAACAATAATTCTGGACAATAAAATACACACAAACATTTATCCATATATAATGTTAGTTACAGATTACAAATACTTACTTTTTCTTACTTTTTCATTCAGATTTTTTTTTTTTTTTTTTTTCATTTTAAATGAAAACAATAATAATTTAAGCATTTGCAACAGCAGAACATTTTTCGTCCCAATTTTTACTTAAAAGCTTCAACAGATCAGCTGACTTTAAGACGTTCCCACAAAGAAAGAATTGACCTCCGGTACAAACAAAAATTTTTTTCTATATAATTGGAGTGTTAACAACTATGGAATACAAAACTTCTTAATATTTCACCATAAATTTTTGGACTTTATGGCACCTATCACGGAAAATCGCCCATAGTGCACTGTGGTAACTATAAATTGCTTCTAGGGCTAGTATACATAGGTATTGATTAGATAGATTCGAACATGTTAATTAAAAAAAGTAAAAACAAAAAGATAATTAACGAAAATGTGAATGAGTGCGTGATAGACGAAAAACATGTAGAGTGAGTTTACATTAGAGTGCGGCCTTCAATAAAATGAGCGAGAATAAATGAAGCCTTAAAACGTAATGAAAAAGATGCCAAAGCGTAAAGGCGTCGAATAACTGGAGTTTTTGCATGCATTTTTTTCGTATTTGCTCGGCTTAAAAATCAGTGCGTTACGACCGCTCAAATATACATAACATATATTTGATTTTCTTTCTGTATTTTATTCATTTTCTTTCTGTTTCCCTATGCTCTTTAACTCTATGCGCGCAAAAGCACTTGCGCACACACAACCCGTTTTCGGCTCAGCTTCTATGTCACTCAACATATATACATACATATGTATGTACGGGGCTACACGGGGCTAATAAGAAAGTTCCACAAGTTAATAAGTAAGTTCTTGTTATATGCATTATTTACTGTTTTCGCAGTGAGATGATATAAATTTGTGCTGAATTTGGAGAACTCAACTTGCAGAAAAGTGAATTTACCAAAGTAGGACCACGCAAAACTATTTAGCAGCGGGAATTGGCTTTCAAACACTTTAAAAATGACCATACCCGTAGAAAAATTGGTGAGATGGTTGGATTTACTGTTCAAAGCATCATATGCCGATTTGTCCGTGAAAATAGAATGATGAGGCCATATTTAATTCGTTTGGTTCGGATGGGCCCTCTTATTGTTGGGAACTTCGAATTTATAGAGACTACGATTGATAAAGGCAAATATCTTGATCTTTTGATTTGATATTTAAAATTTTATTTTATTTAAAGGAGGACGTCAGAATAACCAAGATAATGACCCGAAACGCACTGCGGACTTGGTATAAAAATATTTGGAAAAACTTCAACGTACCCGTAGCCCTGTCCGTCTGTCCGTCCGTTCGTTCGTATGAGCAAGCCGATCTCAGAAGATATTAGATCTAGAGAGCTGAAATTTGGCACGTGGTAGGCCCACATACTTGGGTAAACAATTATCAGGTGGCTAGAAGAGAGTTAAAGAAAGCCATTTCTGTGACTCAGCCGAATAAGACCCTTGGGGCAGAGCATATAATATAGTAGTTAAAATAATATATGCAGGTAAACAGATGCAGCCTACGGATCGCTTGGAGCTTAAATCGATTGTAGAAATGATCTTTCCAGAGATTTTGAGCTCCATTCATACCTCTGAGTCCGTGTTTGCTGATCAGAGCTCAACGAGCACTCAAATTGTTTTAGTTACAGACGAAGAAATCTTAATAGCTTTCAGAGGTCTTAGCTCCAGGGCCGGACGGGATCCCAAATCGTACGCTAAAGCTAGAATTATATAACGAATGTTTAATTCAGGAGACGTACCCTGCAACCTGGAAACCCCAGAACTTGGTATTGCTACCCAAGGCTGGTAAACCACCAGGGGAGCCATCTTCGTATAGACCAATCTGCCTCTTAGACGCCATGGGAAAGGTGTTTGAGAAATTTATTTGCTCTAGAATGGACTCTGCTATTGCTAGCACCGGAGGCCTGTCACATAACCAATTTAGTTAAGTAAAGAGCTACTTCAGAGGAAGAACACTGGTATACAACACGAGTGATGGTCCCCAGACTCATCTTGGAACTACGCACACCATTGGCTTTGCTGATGATGTAGCTGTCGTTTCCATAGGCAAGGAGCTTAAGGATACTGAGGATATGTGCAGCGCAAGTATAAATCTCATACGAAGCTGGTTGACAGTCTTAGTCAGCAGTCGCAATAGAGTGGAAGCTGCCAATATAATGATCGTCAGCAACACCATCGCGTCAAAGAGGGCTATAAAATATCATAGCGTCATGTTAGACGCAAGATTAACTTTCCGCGAGCACTTAGAATATGTGCATAAAAAGGCAACTGATTCTTGTAGAGCTCTCTCAAGAATTATGCTTAACACGCGGGGACTAAAACAGCAACGACGTCTCCTTCTAATGAGCGTCATTAGGTCCGACATCCTCTATGCTGCGCTAATATGGTCAAGAGCGATGGCAAAGCCGAGGTACAGCCAGGGCATACCAAATAAAAAATATATTTAAAATAA